AAATGAAAATTTTAGTCAGTGCCCATAGTGAAAAATGTTTTTTTTTTTACCTCTTTCCAAGTTCAACCACAATCAAGGAATATACAAAAGAGCCATGACATTTTTCTCAGCTGAGGTAGCTTTTAAGCGTCACATTTGAATTAGTTACAGGGATAGGCATGAAGGAGAGGTTAAGTGAAAAAACATGCAAAGTGTGATAGTTTTTTTCGAAGAAGTCATGCTCAAGTGTGTTTAAGGTTAGGAAGTACCAGTAGCAAAAGTTCCAAGCTCTCTAGTGCCTGCCTTCGCTCATGTGTCAAACACTGTAACAACTTCAGACACTCTCGGTTAAAACCTGAAGGTTCACAGGCTGGCATACAGGAAGTTTACCGTGTTTCTTATCACTTGTTTTCATACAAAAGTTAGCCTTTTACTGTAGAAAAGCTAATACTACAGCATCTGGAAATATAGAATATGCTATTTACATGGTACGGCAGCTGGTATAGCTCCAACACAAGGAACTAGACTCATAAATTTTGAATAGCACCTTGGCCTTTAGAGCACTGACACTACTGCTTAGGACTCCAACCGTGAACAGAAAAACAGATGAACTTTCATACTAGTTATAAACAGTGCTGTTGTATAGGAAGATTTTGTATGGTTAGATGATAGAAAATATTAATTTAAAAATTCCATACTCTGCAAAAATGACTTTTTTTAACCCTCTCAATCTCACAGAGATCAAAAGTTGAAAGCTTGCGTCATGTGTTTCTAGCTTTGGCGTGAATATGGTATTAGGTAACGTTTGAGTCATTGCAGTGATTGACCTTCGTTAAATCTACCACATACTTGTCTACTAGTTTGAGGGTTAGTGTCGGACCTCGTGTAGGTTTGAAATGTCATTCCATAAGGACGTGTGACTGGTCATATCAGACATAGGGCACATAGATAAACATACGGTAGCATCCTTGTGGTATTGGGTAACACTAACATGTGTCTCTCTGTTCAGTCCTTGAGTTGTGATGCTCTTGTATCTTTTTTTCACAGTAAGGCCACACCAAGTTAATTTCTTGGTTAACAGATTCGCCCGCTTCATTTTTTTCTGATTTGCAAAAAAAAAATTCATCTGTGTTTCCTGTTTCCTGACCGACCCCAGAAAAATCTACTGACCCTAGCCTGTTTTTTGTATGGACCCCTGCAAGGGACATAAGTTTTTTTCAAGCTGATCAAGTTCAACCTTTTCTGTCTCCAATTTTAGCTAGTCTCCATGATCTGACACCTGAGCAATGAAACATTGTACATTCGGTTTTCCAACATTGTCATTGAAAGGAAGTGTCCTCGTACAACTTTTACTTTGTTAAACTGTACTTCTATAAGTTTGATCGCTAGAGATCGCCAAAGTCTAAAAAAAAAACGAAGAAAAAAGATAATCTCTGCCTATAGTATAGACCCTAATTTTTTTCAGGACTGAAACAGGAAACACAACTTTTTTTTTCCTAGGCCTAAACACATGGTAGCATCCTCATGGTATTGGGTAACACTGACTTGTGTCCCTTTGTTCAATCCATGATTTGTGACGCTCTTGGTTTGAGGATCTTTTTTCACAATAATTTGCAAATGAAATATATACCAACAGCTGTGTATTTACTCTTCTTAACTAGGTTAATGGACCTTTTCCCAAAAGTATTTTACTGTATTATTGTTACACCTACTCGTATTTATACATTGTTGATTCCTGGATGTTACAAATTGCAAAGCGTCAGTTGATTTTGCTGAAGCCCAACCTAGTACATTGTTGTGGAAATGAAGTGTTTATGTAAATGAGGTCATTTTTGGTAAATAGGTTCAAATTAGTACAATGCTATTATAACAGTTCCATTGTTATGTGAATGCTAATACATTCATGGCCCTATAGTCTATACATGATGCCACTGATATTTTCTACAAAGTGCTTTCTTTCCAAAAGTAAAGGTCTTGGTGGTGAAATTTCTTTTATATATATTCCCAACTGAATAAACAGTGCACTACATACTAGTCTATATACTTGTATATGTTACAATGTATACTGTATATATGTTACAAAAGTGTTGTCATAGGGCCAGTTGAGAAAACAGTATTTTGGCACGAGTAATATAGTTTACACACAAGTGGAAGACAATGCTGTCTACTGGATTAGTGTCTCAGACATAAGAATTTATTGTGAGTACAAGAAGTGACATCTATACACCAAGTAATGCTGTGTACTCTGTTAAAACTACAAATATCTTCATTTTCATCTGCTAAAAACAACACCGCAGAAATATTGTTTAGGTGTTCTTCTTTTCAATCTCTACCTACGGACTCTAAATTGTTTCAGAACTGAAACAGGAAACACCACAGTTTTTTTTGCCAGGCCTTACAAGTGACTCCAGATGCAAGGTTCAATAGAAAACATGCAGGGGTACATACCTATAGATACAGCTGACATGCTGGCAGCGACAGTGACGTTATAGCTGGCACCTTATCTCAAACACAGACCCAGTAGTTTGTTGACTCTAGCAGTTCATATCTCAACCCCCAGCGTGTACCCGAAGTGTGCCCAATAATGGGGAACTGAGGTTTCGGCTGAGTTTGAAATGCTTCGCTTTACATAAACTTTGTCTGAACTCGGAGGACAAGAGTCAAGTAGTGGTGTATTGTATGACATCTGTGGGCACTGAGCTTACAGTTAGATACTGGATCTTTAAATGTTGTTAGTGCAGATTTGTAGGGGGGCTTTTCGGCCCATATTAGTAGAATTTATACATTCTCAGCTCATTTGCTTTAGAGTTTGGTTCCAAGTACATTCTCGACTTTATAACTTCCAGCAAAGAGCTTTTGAAATAATTCACAAGTCTAACAAAAACTGATCATTTATATATATATATATATAGGTAATTTTTTCTTCTAATCTTATACAAACATTTTGAAGCTGGTGTGTTACGCCGAAAGGCGGTTATACCGGCTATACAGATACAGATACAGATACAGAAACACATCAAACATTAGGAGTTATGAAATGAAAAGTGGTAGAATTTTTAATATCTACCATAGCAGAAAGCTGTCAAGTTCATGTGTCCTATTTTTTAATTTCTAGAATATGACATGGGATTAGGCCACCTTACTCCTTTCATTGTGACTTTGCATGTCTTGACACAATTAGAAACAGAAATGTAATTTCAAAATAATACCTTTATTTTGAATTGCAAAGTATCCTTATAAAAATTGCCTTTATGACAGTAAAACTTGAGATTTAAGAAAATGATTTGCCAAACATTAAGAGACGAGTGTTAAATATAATGCGTGCCTTCATGTCTGAATGTAACAGGAACATGCTTATAATTACACACTGGGTTAGTGGAACAATATGCTATTGTCAAACCAGAAAAGGGGAGTTCTATATTTAGCCCTGCTTTTCCCCTTTCGTGACTTTCATAAAAGTTAATTGCCACATATTTGTTCCCCAGATGAGGTCCAAAGATTGGACAAATTTCAAATATGCTTTTGTGATGTAGTAATACAGTAGTAATAGTTTATACTTCATGTAATTGCTGGTAATTGTAATACTCATTAGAAAACATGCTGTTGTGCAATGGCAATTTTTCTTGACTCTTCAACCTACATCTGATTCTATGTTGAAACTATAATTTATTTGTTACATCTATCTGAAGCTTTGCTCAATGGTGGCGAACATTTGAATGTTTAGATATTTTTTTACCATGATAATTAATGCATAAGTTGTGCAAATTTTTCCGAAGAAAATTTTGATATGTCATGGTAGAGCATGCAGGCAATTTTCAAGAATTTTACTCCAAACAAGACCCCTGGGCTCCCCTTCAGAAATCTACCAGATAAAATAAAGGCAGAGGTTTCTTGTTAAAATCCTTCCCTGGGAAGGGCAGTCTCCTGGCATGGCAGGTTAGACACAAGTAGAAACACCTGGGAGATTTCCATGTGTTTTATGTTATTCTTCTGAACTGGTAATCACTTTGATGGGCCAGCTAGATGAAAGATGAAAACAAGAGATCACAAAGGGCAGAAACAGAGAAACTGAGATGTGTGATGGAGGAATCCTGGGCTTGGAAAAAAGGAATCCTCCTTCTGATCATTATGATGATGTCAGGGTTCAGTCATGCCCCCCTAGCTGCTCAGCAGAAGTACCTGATGAGCTGCCATCTGGCATGCCCCTATGTCTCTATTTACCTGAGCATAGGTTGAGTAGTCATAAGGAATGGGATGAAAACTAACATACGTACAGGGTTTCATGATTTGTTTAGCAAAGAAAAGGTATTTCAATAATGTTGCTAGGAATGTATAAGGTATAATTTGGTAGATATTTAGAATATAAAGCTAGGATTACAAGGTAACACATACCATATTGATCATGCACTTGTGTGGGTGTGGCATCCTTTCATCATTTTTTCTCTCCATTTTTTTGCACCTCCAGGAGAGTTCACATCTGGTATGTCCACACCGTAAATAAATGTTGTGGATAATTGTTCTTGTCACTATTCTTGTGAATACTGAAATACCTTTCCCCCAAGAGTTTTGTGTTGGCATGGTACATTGTACTTTGGTAGTTACCGCTGGAGCTTGTCCAAATGTCGAAGCTCCCAGTAAAGTAGGCAATTGATTATGACACCTTTGGCTTTTAACACCCAATTCTTCTAATTAATTAGGTATTTGTTGTCATTTTTGGCTGGCATGCCAGGATGGTAGGAAAAACCTATGTGTGTGTGTGTGTTTCCATTCTGTAAGCTGTCACACAGAAAACTGTTTAAGCTCTGGCAAACTTCCAATGCCAAACTCAAAATGAACTTTCTGGCAGACATACATTCAGACTTGCCACTTTTTTCTGGCATGGTCACATGTAGTTCCCTTCACGATGTGCCAAGTTATCAATCAGTTTGAGATTATTACGATTCCTACCTGTCTTCAGCATTCTTTACTGTCGAGGTTATGTTTTGGTGAGAGCGTTTCTCACTTTACATGTTTCTCTCCAGGAATTTGCTGCACTGACGAAGGAGCTGAACATGTGTCGTGAGCATCTATTGGAGAGGGAGGAAGAGATCTCCGAACTCAAGGCCGAGCGCAACAACACCAGGGTTTGTCTGAACTACATATTAATTAATGTCCCAGCAGATAGTATGGTCCAGAATATGATGAACATGTCCTGAAAGTGTTACCAATATCTACTTTATAGGCTGTGTCATAGATTACTAGTATCGTTCTTGCAGTGTACATGATCGTAGTTATGTGTCAACTTTGCATTGACATATGTATTGTATTAGTAGTCCAGTCTAGTTAAGTCAAACAACCAATAATTTTTGAGTCAAACCATTTCTAATATATTTGTAACCTCCATGGCCAGCAAAATTTATCTGTCGGGTTACTGCTTACACATATCCGGTACTTTGAAACCTAGTGTATTTAAAAGCTCTCTAGTGCAGCACCCTCAGGTATATACAGTAATATGTGCAAGAGTGCATCATACTGATGGACATTGCATTGGAGATGCATTTTTTTCAGAGGGAATCATGTTAGTAGACTTCCTGTTGATTATGTTTACTGAAGGACAACATATTGTTTTTCCTACACTTTATCATGTTGTAATTTTGTAGCAGGAGGGATTTAAACTGTATGAGCAGACCATATGCAATGGTAAACATTATGCATTCGCTTTGCAAATGTTACCTTTCTAGTGAAGTTCTATATTATGTTAGTCAAAACAGAAAATTTACTTTTTTCTACTTTCTTCTGTACAGTTACTACTAGAGCACCTGGAGTGCCTTGTGTCTCGCCACGAACGTTCCCTGCGGATGACGGTGGTCAAGCGGCAATCCCAGAATCCCGCAGGGGTGTCCAGTGAGGTAGAGGTTCTCAAAGCTCTGAAGTCACTCTTCGAGCATCATAAAGCTCTGGATGAAAAAGTAAGTCAGTGTTCGAAATACCTGTCTGCAGTCTGCAATCTGCAGATAGATTTCAAAGATTGCAGAAGAAAAATTTATACAATCTGCAATTTTGCAGCAGGAAAAATTGGCACTTGGGATTTGGCGCTCTTGGCCCCAAGGACAGACAACACTTAAGCTCCTGTTCTGAAACAACAGGAGCTTCTTCACTAATTTACATCAACTTTGTCTTGACTTGTCTATCTTTTGTTTCCTTTTGGACTTCCAAAAATTTGTCTTCACTAATTTGCATATCAATCAATAGTTCATGCTTATAAACCTGCAAGATTGTAGTATAGAGGCTTGTGTATTTGCAGAAAGTATTTCCAAATTGCAGAACAAAATTTTGACTCTTCTGCAATATTGCAGAACACCGGAATGGAAAGGTTGCTGCTAATTATCCCAAAACAAGGCCTAGGAAAAAAATGTTGTGTTTCCTGTTTCAGGAAGAACAGAAAAAACTGCAGACCCTGGCCTTTTTTTTGTGTGTGTGGACCCCTGCAAGGAACATGAATTTTTCAAGCTGATCAACCTTTTCTTTCTCCATGATCTGACACCTGAGTGATGTACAATTAGTTTTCCAACATTGACATTGAAAATAGAAGTGTGCTTATGCTTTGGTGCTTGTGTAAGTTGGATCTCTAGAGGTTGCAAAAGTCTAAAAAAAGAAGAAGAAAAGGACTGAAACAGGGAATAAAACTTTTTTTCCTAGGCGTAATCAATTAATCAAACTTTATTGCACAACATGTGTAACAGGTACAATGTATAGCAAGTTCTTATAAGTATTAATGTAGAAGGCAAGTCGATATCTGCCTTATTGTACCGTAAAGCAAGTTGAGATTGACAAACAGGCTATCCTTCCTTAGATTGACCTGGTGGAATTTGCATTGAGTTCATCATGTTTGTAGAACTGGACTTTTTTAATGTATTAAAATTTCTACTTACAGCATATCCTTGTAGTGGGTAATCGTGATTCTTCACTCATACATTCGGTCTGTTAAGCTACTACTGGAAAATCTGTGTGTGTTTCTTGCAAAAGTATCTGTTGTTTCCTACAAGTACTGATCTAAATTTCACAATGTCTGTTCTTCCAAAGGTACGAGAAAGACTTAGAGTAGCACTAGAAAGAGTAGCAGCACTAGAAGAGGAGGTGGCCAACAAAAATTCTGAGGTTTGTATCCTTGCATTTTAAATCTGTATACTTGATAAGGCTGGGCTTCTACTCATTCTTAACCTTCAGCATGCTGAAGTAGCAAATTGTTTACCAAGTCTCTATTGGTTATGGGGCTAAGCAGCAGGGAGAAGGTAAACTTGGCAATCTAAAAAGTAAAATGTTATGTGAGACGTTCTTATTTAGCCCCATAAAGGGGTGAAGAGTTAGCAGTGTTGTACTTGGAACACTTCCCAAGGCCAGTGCTCTATCCACAGTGTTAACGTTTTAACCAGTGTAAACTTCCGTTACAACCTCTGAACTTCATGCTTGTTAAACTGTTTAAACAACTCAGGACTGTTGATAATTTAGACTGGGGTGTACAGTGTATACTGTAAGGTTAAGCACTGGAGATTGGCGTGTACCAGTGCTAGTTGCCAAATTAGTGCACAAAGGCTTAAGGTTAATATAATAAGGCCACCGATGCTCTGTGGGTGTCCTTACATTTTTGACTGGCTGTGAAAACAAAAAACAAAGCCTACGACTCATTCCACCAAGTTTGCTCAGGTATTACTTTGATCAGTGACCAGACAGTGATGCTCAGAAGAAGAAATTTGAATACTCTTTGTTTGTGTCTGTCTATGTCTACTCTTATAACTGAGGAAAGTATAGTTATTTAGAACTAGAAGAGGAAGCCAGTTATCTTCGGATTTCTTTGGTCTTTTTGTGTTGTGAAACTAGTATGTTTGGTATTTCTTTAGACCAAACATTTAAACATCACTCCCAGTGTTGTCATAACTTGTGAGTTCCATCCACAGACTCAACAAACAGCTACTGGAAATAAAGTGCAAGAAATCTTTCATCGTAAAAGTGTTACAATGTGTACAAAAGTCACAAACATGGGTCAAACCAGAAGTTTACTTTTAGAACTGTGGTATGCCAGGTTTAGTATGGATAAGGTGTAAGTTATAGAAAGGGTTGCCTATCTGCGAGCATGCTCTCTCAATTTTACTCTTCTGTCTCTTCTTATGACATAGTTAATGAAAACAAAATGGTAAAATTTCTATCTTTACAGTCTCCAAAGTCTAACGCTGTAAAAGATGGGAATTTGAAACGGAAAGCAAATTTTACCTCTTTCTTCTAACCCTGTCTTATATATCTTTTTCCATACAAACATACATTACATACTCATATATACATACTTGCATTCCGATACAAATGTCGGTTGTAATGGTTAAAATATATGAGAAAAACATATATTTTTACTGCTGGACACCAGTAACTAGTGAAACAAAGGACCATACCTGGTTGGGAATAAAACCAGTGTCCTTTGGTTCCTTTCCCAGCTTGATGGGCTACGTGGGCAGAAAATGGTGGAGAAGGGCGGCGAGGAAGGGGATAGTACTGTCGAGAAGATGGAGGACGGAGAGCAAACACAGGAGGCGCCCAGAACCAATAGTTTACCTGGAAAGGTAACTCACAAAGTAGGCAGTGGTGTAAAACAGGGTACAGTCACATAGTGGGATCTCACATATATCACAGCCACCCCATCCCTATATCTTGTTATCTTTTGAGTTGTTGCGTTCCTTCAATTTCTTTGCATGGCAGTTCTCCGTTTATTTTGACGATACGCGGTTATACACCGTTAGCCTCTACGTTGCTTATCGTTTTGCAATCTCTAGTTATTTTTTTGCAACCTATCCGGCATAGGCAACAGTGTGGGAGTGTTTTTATATATAGTATGTGGAAGCGTAGAAGTTGCCTGTTTGGAAAGTTCTAGCTTTTTTAATTTTTGCCTTGTTTCTTTGTTTCTTTCCTTATAGCGTCTGTCAAATGGGTCAATAGATCCAGACGATCACGTGAGCCGTGTTGTCGAACTCCAGGACACGCTGGAGAAGCAGAACGCGGACCTGAAGGCGGCGCGGGACCGCGTGAGCGAGCTGGCGGGACAGATCGGCGGGCTGGAGGACAGCCTGCAGCAGGCCCAGCGAGACCTGGTCAAGTCCTCCGAGTCGGCCGCCAAGCAGCAGAGAGACTTGCGAGAAGTAAGTTCTGTTTCTCTTTCTCTAAGGCCACACTGACTTAGTTTTATGGATGACATCCTCTGAAGACCCCCAAACTTCATGTAGTGCGCACAGGCGAATAAAAAAGAAATTCCAGAAAAAAACTTGCTGGTAAACCATGGGAATACAAAGCTGGACTGTGAATTTGTGGTAGTTCATAGCGACTTTTACAACAAACAACACATGCTGGCATTTTGCGGCATTTATGAGTAACCTAGTGGAACGCTTAAAAGTTCTGAGTGGTGGAACTAGTTGGGTGAGTTCTGCGGAGCAATGACCATTAAAATATCTGTAAAAGAGGGATAAGTAGGCAACATTTCATCTATGGGAAAGGGGATCTGAGTGACCTGGTACTGAGGGACCACTGTTTGTATTTCATCGTCAGGCCATGGCACAGAAGGAGGACATGGAGGAGAGAATCACGACGCTGGAGAAGCGATACCTCAGCGTGCAACGGGAAGCCACGTCCCTGCACGACCTCAACGACAAGCTGGAGACGGAGCTGGCCAACAAGGACTCGGCGCTCAAGCAGTCCGAGGACAAGGTGGGTTCTTCGGATAAGATAAAATAAGACTAGAAATGTTTACCTTCACATGTTCTCAAACTACTGCTCTGTTTATTCTTAACTCAAAAACATACACTTGTAAGTTGCATGTATATCGTGACAGGAATCTCCAGCTCTGTCTTGCTGCATAATGTAACCCAACACCATAGGCTTCAGCACCAGTTACCATGGTGACAGACTTCTGGTCCTGGCCATTGACCTTATGTGTTTGGAAAAGAAGAAGAAGAAACTGAGCAAAAACACTATGTTTTCCATCTACCTTTCTTCAGAGGCATTTAAAATCATGGATAGTTAATCTTCATCATCATATTGTACATACTACATGTAATTGATTATACCATGACATACATTTATCGTTTTCTTTTCTCTTTGCCAGGTGCACCAGCTGCAGGAGCGCCTGGAGCTGGCCGAGCAGCAGCTGTCTCAGCTGTCCCGCCGCGCTGACCAGCTCCCAGGTGTGGAGGCGGAGCTTGCCAAGCGGGATGCAGCCCTCACACAGGTAGGGTGCACATCAGTCCCCCTAGCAACTTGTACTGAAACTGCAGGTGCAGAATTTTTCATGCATTATTGTTTCTTGAAGGCCATTCCACACAAAAGAGAGTCACAGCCTATATACAGTGCATAGTTGAGTAACTGTGAAAGTAGGACAAAGGTTTAGCTTGTTCAGTGTTATTCCCATATTTTATGTGGAGTGGATTGACTGCAATCTCCCAGAGTAACTTGTACCAGCGTTGACACTGATATTCAATTACATTTGAGTAATGGATCTTAGTGTATGCCACCCTGTTTGGTGTGTTACACTGAATGTGTGAATGAGGTCAACTGTGTGTGCTAAGGAAAACAACTTTGAAAAAATAAATCTAGAATTATAGCAGTTGTAGAAGACTGCTGGAAAGCAACAGTTGATATTGTAAGGTTTCCCATGCTTAGTATGTATATAGCTTGCTTTCTGTAGTATGCCTTTTTTATGCACTCACCTCAATGACACCCCCTTTCCTTCCAACACTTTTTCAGATAACTTGGAGTCAAAAACAGGTAATTCTTGCCGTCAGTAGACGTGAGTTTGCAGAGAAGTGCAAAAGATACTGAACACCCCTATCTCTCAAATGGAAGAGTCCTGATATGGGAAAAGAAAAATATGTTTAGCAGTCATTTTACAGTATTAAAAAAAACAGAACAATTTAATTAAAGTTCCCCTTTTTTTGAGTGGGAAGTCCCGGTCTGACATTGACACAACTGAATGCTTGGACTGCTAGATTTCAGTGCGGGGGTTGTCAGTAGTCATTTGCACTACTTTGCAAATGCTGGTGTTGGGAAATTTAGTTGCTTTTAGCTGCACACAGCAAAGCTCAGGGTTCGAAATGTTATATTCCTGTTGTATTTGATTCAATATACCAAGCTAGTTCTCGTCAATTGCATTTCTGCGAGCTCAGAAATTTCTCTGTAGATCGCAGGTGTGTACTACTACTATTTCGAGCCCTGAATGTCCTGTGTTTTTTCATCCCATTCCCCCAAATAACAACACATTGGTCAGAGTTTTTAACAGGGAGAGGATGTCAGATGGTCATGTACTAATTCTGTTGTCTTCCCAGGATTCACGAACTAACTGCCATTTTACATTCCAGTTTCCCATACATGGTGTTTGCCCCGGTTTAGGCCACAACAATTTAATTTCTTGGTTAACGGATTCGCCTGCTTCATTTTTTTTCTGATTTGCAAAAAAAAATTCGGAATCAACTGCAAAGTCCTCATATTTTGCCCTGAACAGTTGAAAACAGTCATTTTCTTCCTAGTTGTTACAGTTACTCCATCTTTCAATGCAGTGGTATCATTAAAAGTTCAAAATTCATTGTTTAAATTTTGAATCAGCCTGGTGTGTTGACTTCATGGCTCCTATCGTGACATTTTGGGCCATAATAGGATGCCTAGGCCTGTTTTTTTTTTCGCCCACCCGCTCCATTTTTTTTCTAGAAAAATCCGTTAACCAAGAAATTAAATTGGTGTGGCCTTATGTACTGTGCTACATGGATAATCTAGGGGACACAATGTTTAACATCATCTTCAGGATAATCTGTATCATTTACAAAATTACCTTGGCAGTCATCTTCTAAAAAGACTTCTCTTCTCTTCATGGTGACACAAAAGTTCTGAGACAAGCAGTTTATTTTTTATTTTCCTCATTTTTTGTTGGATCATTGAAAAATATACCCTTTACGTTTGGAATACAATTGTTGTTTTTTTACTGGAGCTTCATATCATAACGTCATTCTGCTCTAATTGCAAACTTATCGACCATCTACGCACTTTTGTAAACAGCGACTTTGTTTACTTTACCCTAACTGTTGCTTAACTCATCAACAACCTGCTGATTTCATTAACCTACTAACCAACTTGCTTGCGAACGCATTTCCTTTACCCAGTGATTTCAATCCACTTACTAACATTATTATAATGTGTTGCTTCCTGTCAAGCAAGGCCCCCTTGGTCTGCAACAGGTTTGCCTGATGACTCTCTTAAAAAGAGTTCTCCTAACATGGACTTATCCTTGTTTTTTTTCTCTACTTTTTACTGTAGTACACGGGAACTACAATGGTATGAAGTCTCGTTCTCTCACTTTTGTGTCACTGGTGTTGTGGATCATGTGTGTAGTAGTGTCACTCAGAAGGGCTGTATGCAGTAACTCAGCTTGCAGTGTTGTTGTTTTCCTGTACTGTGGACGTGTTGACATTTTGCAGGCATATTTTTTAAGTTTTTCTCTCTGTACATGTACATTGTACATTGTACATGCAAAGTATATAATGTAATAGATGTTGTATATTCAAACTGTATAACAGCAAGTCATTGAAATGTTTCTTCAAAGTGATGTCCATAAATGTGCAAAATTTTAAATTTCATCGCAGAAGATACACACTTTATGTACACTTTTTTTTTCATAGAATTGACCCAAATCTCCTGAAATGAGTCGTGAAATTGACAATAAAAATTATTTCGGGGTTGTTGAAATATGTTGTTGTGGAAAGACATATTATGGAGAATATTTATATATATAATATTTGGAGAATATTTTGTTGCCTTGGTGTCACTGTGATCATCCTGCATGCACTGGACATGGTCACTGGACATTCCGGTTTTTAAGAGGAATGTTCTTTGTTTTTGCTGTGGAGTTCTGACATGATCTGTCCTCCCAGGCTGAAGAGCGTCATGGAACAGTAGCAGAGCGGCTGGCTCACTTGGAGGACCAGCTAGAGGAGACCACGCTGGAACTGACCAGGGTAGGTACAAGGGGGCCAAGAAGGGAGCCTTGGGGGACCCGCAACAAAGTTTGATTTTGATTTGCCCACATACATTTAGGTATAGGACCATGCCAATGTAGATAGTTGTTCCTGCAATACAGAAAAGTTGTGCAAGGGCACAGAGGAAAACGATTAGAGAAGAACATGAAATATGAAGCACGTTATGCTCATTAAGTAATAGAAGTTTTGATATGAACATGCTGTAACACACTGCTGTATAGGCTTTTCTTGTTCTATAGCTGAATTTTTGTTAAAAAATGTTTTGAGATTGGTATTGTCTTCTAGACATAGGTGAGCCTGAAAAGGTTAAAGCTGGTAAAGCAGTTCAACTCGAAGCATCAAGACTGAGATGAAGCATTATACATGTATTACTTCAGTAGCTGGTAGTCAGTAACTTTCAGCCAGATGCAATGTGGCCTTTCTTTTGGTCACATTTTAAACGTTATTTTCCTTTTTTTTCCAGGCACGCCAACGGGAGAAGATGAACGAGGAGCACAATGCGCGTTTGTCGGAGACAGTCGATAAGCTGTTGACAGAGTCCAACGAGCGTCTGCAACTTCACTTGAAAGAGAGGATGTCAGCCCTAGATGACAAGGTGAGGCAGAAGCTACATTTAGTGAGTTACAAAAGCAGATGTTGTTGAAGAGGTTCATCAGTCACATAGAATTAACAGAAAATTCTTCAATCAGTGACTGTATTTTGTAAGGTAAATTACGTACCTCCAAATTTTCGGTGTTGACTGGGAGCTGCCCAAGTCCTATTTACCACTACTCTGCAAGGAGGCGGGGGAGGCCAGAAGATCCCCACAAGTCTCGACCTAGTCTCGTGCTCTCGCGAGATGATGTTTTCACACACACACAAACACACACATACACACACACTATCCAGTTTAACGCCTGTTGTTCCCTGTGAAAGGGACTTGGATGTGCTTGCACTGTCACACTGAGGCTTGATGACAGCCGGCCATTTGCCTCTATCCTTTGGGTTCACACTGTGTGATGCAAGCTCAGAAAGCCGTACAAAGTAGAATACTAGGAATATGCAAAATGAAGGAAGAAAGATTGACTTAACATCGGAATTTTGAGAAAGAAAAAATAATTTTCACTGACACCTTGACAGTTGATCCTTCGGTGATTGATCCTTAAAAAGTGGTCTGTTGTTCGTAACTGTTCTGATAAATGTCTTATTTTTTTTCTTTACAGAATTCGTTAACTCAGGAATTAGAGTTTACTAGAAAGAGATTGGAAGAAACTCAACTAGAAAAGGTGAGTTCTCTTTGTTTGTTGTCATGTGGTGGAATGAAATGGGAAGTTTTGAACATACCGGTGCATAGTGATGTTCATCAGATATGTTCTTACCAAAATTCAACTAGGTCCTGGCAAATAAAAATTATTGTACATGAGCAATGCTGGGAATTTGTATTACACTAAGTAAAATCGTACCTTCCAAATGGACACCATCTTTCAATGTGAGATCTGGTGTGGAGAGTTCCTAGCTAAAACTTGTCTCTTTTCGTTTCAGGAAAAACTATTAGAAGAAATAGATAAAGTAAAGAATGATGGAGACTTTAGAAAGGTAAGTTACTCTCCTGCCTATTTTTACATAGTCTCTGCCTTTTAAAAAGAATGATTTGAAAGAGAACACTAGGAATTTCTGTCATGTAAGATATATAATAATAATGCGTCTGCAGAAACATATACGCTTAGACCTTGACTTTCTTTTCCCTTTTTCAGGCCCACAATGCTGGTAGAACCATGACTGATGGAAGGTACGTTTGTTAAGAAAACATTGCATAAAGCCTACGTTTTCACTGTAATTTGTTGCAGAAGTAGCTTTCAGTTGCTACAAATGATCACTGTTGCTACCCTCTGCGTCATTTTTTGGAGTGCCTGTAGAAGAGATTCATCATTCGATGATCAAGTAGAAAAATCTGATGCTTCTGCATCTGTATGGCTGACATAACCGCCCTATGGCGTAACACACCAGCTTCTGTATCAGTATAGCCGGTATAACTGCCCTTCAGCATAACACACCAGCTTTGCAGGCACGCGGCACTGAGGCAGCTGGCTATATCACACCAAGCAACATGTTACACGTAATCTTTTCACATCTAACTGTAAGCATTGTTTCAAGCTATTTAGTGATGATGTCCCTACTATACATGGTGGCATTGAATTCCACTCTACAATAATTGTAAGAAAAAAAAGTGTCATTTGTGACTAAGATGTTTGTTGTGTTTTTGTGTTCTGTAGAAGCCTTCCAGACTTAAGTGCAAGGTATCCTCTGAGTCCTAACATCGTGGTGGGTGGTCAGGACGGCAGCGGTGTGCCCCGCAGACCCACCCCAGGACGATACAGGGCTGACCCCAGTAGAGTGAGTATTGTCCAACATCTCTCAAATATCTTCTATGCTAAAAGATGTGTGGAAAGTTTACCTTCTGAAATCATGCAACACATCCTAAAACTTAACCAGCTGTACTCATCCCAAAACTTAACCTTTGAAAAACACCTAAAATTACTGAAATATTGACAAAACAAGGCTATGTACATGAAACAAAATTATAATATTCAATTCTATTTCATGTCTTTTTTCCCAACTTTTAAGCTTGAAACAGCAAAAAGGTTTTAAATAGTTTGCATATTTCACCCGCATACAAATTTCTCACCCATGAAAAAAAACAACAGACATATCTGTAACCATGGTAATGCTCGCCGTCCCCGCAGGTTCAGACGCTGAACGAGCAGGAGTGGGAGAAGGCGGAGCAGGCCACGGTCCTCGCCAACGTGCAGCAGGCCTTCGAGAGCGACTCGGAGTTCGGCATCGAGGAGGAGGACGAGGACGGAGTGTACAGCGCCGTGGACCTGCTGTCTCCCAGCGGGCACACCGACGCTCAGACGCTCGCCCGCATGTTGCAAGAGCAGTTGGACGCTATCAACAATGAAATTAGGTTAGTCTCTTTCAGCTAGAGATTAAACACAAAGGTTAGGCCACGCCAATTTGATTTGTTGGTTCTTGGATTTATTTAAATAGATAAATTTTTTTGATTCATTCAAATAAAAAAATAAATGAAATTAGGTTAGTTTCTTTCAGTTACAGATTAAACACAAAGGTAAGGCCGAGAAACAACTTTTTAATTTGGTGTGGCCTTAAGGAAATGTTCATATTTTTAATATAGAAAATAAAGATTAGAACTGGTTAAAATGTCTGTAAAAAGAGTTGTTAAAGTTGTGATTTTCTTATCTGTAGTGTTGAGTATTGTCCGATTCTTTGCTGTGAATGTCTCTCTGTTTTTCTGTCCTTTTTCGTTTCTGAGCTGTGATCTTGTATTGCATGTACATTGCATGAAGTATGGCAAGATAACAGCATGTGAATGTACGTTTATATGTAGGTCAGTTTAACTGTGTCACACATGGTTTTCTGGGGTTAGTGCAATGACAGAAAGTAAAAAACTTTTTTTTCCAAAATTCTTTCAATACAATTGCAAAGACCAAGGATGTAAAAAAAGGTGAATGAATTTAAAAGAGAATTAGAATTTTTGGAGAAAAGATACAAAATCTGTCAACACTGAAATTAAAGATTTGATAACCAAAGAATAAAGAAAAGAAGCAAGATGTACAGCACATTGGCAGAGTGCACTGTGCCTGTGCGAAACCCATGACAATGTATTGTGCACTCTCATTTAAGGTCTTATTCACGTATGTAGGAATAACATTCTGTTTACAGTTTTCAAATTTTGTGTTGAAAAAGTAACACGTAAAATTTAGATGCAACATTGACCTAACTTCCAACGAAAACCGTAAAAAAAACCCTGGGATTTTGACAGGTTCAGTATGTTCTGCAGACTTGCTCAGATGCACCAACCCCGGAATGTCTGTCTTGCTGACTTTTTTCCTCTCTATTCTGCTCTCTCCATCTATCTTTTCTCTCTCTCTTCATTAATTCTAGAACCTTATCACTTTCCTCAACCAGACTGATCCAGGAGGAAAAGGAGTCGACGGAGCAGCGAGCGGAGGAGATCGAAAGTCGCGTGCAGTCAACCTTTGACCTGGGGAGTATCGGGCGGCTGAGGTCGGAGCGCCTGGGCTCCACCTCCCCCTCCGGGAGCGGAAGGTCCACTCCCAAACTTCCACGCAGCCCCGCGGTAGACACTCAGGTAAGGCCAGGGAAAATAAATATTGTGTTTCCTGTTTCAGTCCTAAAAAAATTAGGGTTGGTGGGTAGGGTCATAGGAATTGTCTTTTTTTTTTTTAGTTCTTTTTTATTTAGACTTTGCTAATCTCTAGTGATCCAACTTATACAATCTAGTTTAACAAACTTTACATGAGGACACTTACATGTATATTTTCAATGACAATGTTGGACAAGCGATTGTATAACATTTCATCACTCAGGTGTCAGATCATGGAGCCGATTTGAGCTATCATGAATAAAGAATGGTGCAAACAAATAAACAAACATCGATATGATAAGTACATTTGGAAGATCCAAAGCTGGACAAGTAAAATAACCAAACAGAAGTAGTATAGACTGTATAGTGTTTTTTTTTGTCAGAAAAAGGGTATTCTAAGAACCAGAAAGAACTACAAGATGGAAAAGTTTTAGATGGTTGCTGATGGCTGTAATGCTACATGGCAAACAATTGAGCGTCAGGTCTCTGACAAGTAAGAAAAAGACGGATCCTGACTGTCCACAATTTGCAGTATAACCATGTCAATTACTGATTTGAAGAATGAGAGACTTGCTGCATGTCTGTCAAATATTCACTATTATTCTATGTTTTGATGGAGGGGTTGTGGAATACCTGAAGATTGTTGACTTGAGGTTTTTTTTTTAATGTTCCAGGGTGGAGATGGAGGAGGTACCCAGTCTCCCGGGTCAGGCGGGGGCTTCGGTCTCCCCACAGCCACATCCCTGTCCAGCGAGTCCTCCAACACTAGCTCTCAGGTCAGGATATATTACATGTCCTCTTAACATACTGAAGGCCTTGTCATTGTGTGTGTTTTGGGCTTATATGTGTAAGCCAGGCTCATAATATTCTAGCATTGATGATCCGTTACGGGCGTAAAAAGTCATCCAATTTTGGTCAAGACATTTACTTTCTGATTGAAGACTAGACCTAGTTCATTTGTTATACATTGTACATGTATACATAGCTCGAAATACGTGACTACACCACTCAGAATTAAAGATGGATCATGCTAAAAATCTGTTCAAAGACCACTTCCGTCATTTCTTTCATGTGGTATTTCAAACCTTTTTGGACCCAGCAATTTTGCCATTAAAATCTTTTTATGTCAACAAAATTGTAGAAATGTTCATAAGATCAAATTAGCAATCCCTTTTTACCTTAGAACCTGACAAAGTCTGATTTGTGTGCTACATACAGTCACCAGCATCTTCCAAAGAGGACAGTAAGGAGGAGCGGTCCATCAAGTGTGAGTCCAGCCCGCCCACACCGCGGTCACTACAGCTGGACAGAGTGGCCGCTGCACTGGCAGCACACAGCAGTGAAGATGTTAGAAGGTAGGGGAAGCTGAAGTGAAGAAATACATGAAATATAATGTACTAGTCTGTTACGTTACACCAATTGTTGGTTCTCAGATTTTTTCAGAAAAAAATCAGATTCATACAGAAAAATATGAAGTGACAGGAAAGAAAACACGGAAATGAAAAACAGGTCTAGGCATGGTAGCCGCAAAGTGCTATGATACAAGTCATTAAGTCTATTGGTCTGGTTTACAATTCAGGAAACAACAAAGTTTAAATTTTCAATCAAATCGTGTAATTGATAAAGACTGTAGCAACTAGGAAGACAAGGAGGTACTTTGTGGAGTTGATTTCTCTTTTCTTGCAAATCAGACTTTGGTGTTTTGTTTTTGCAAATTTGATTGGTAAAGATCTAGCTAATGTACAAAGCAGCAAGATTTTGCTTGCCACTTGAAAAACGTTTTTTCAGTCGATATTTTTCTGAAGTCCATAGAGCAACTAGACTTTGATATTTTATTTTTTATTAAGGCTGGTGTTCATATTCAATTTCCTTTGACTTTTCTTCTTGTTGCATTTAATTTTCTTCCTGCTTTTCTTACTTTCCTTCTTGCTTTCTAGCTTTTATCTTTCCCGGCAAAGGTGAGTTTCTTGTGTGCTGTGGAGTTATGCAACAGACGTTGTGTGCAGTGTTTCCTTTTTTTAAAAGAGGATTTATCCCAGCTAAACTGGTGCTTTTCTGTACAACTTTTCCTTGATCTTCAGTTGTCTCCCAGTAGCAGTGTCTAGAAGCATTAAGTCACAAATTCAGCCTCCTGAACTCTAGCTGTACACCGCCCAACCATGGTTAGGAGTACGTAGTTACGTGCAAAGTTGGCTGGGTCGGATGGTGTTCGGCAAATTCGGTTGCACCAGCCAAGTGTTTCAGGAGCTTTAGATACTTAACATACCCAATGCTTAGTGCTGCGTACCAGTTCACTGGACTTGGATCCGGACTTCTAAGAATGTTTATGTTCAAGTCCAAAAAAACCTAAGATGCAAGAACCGAGTCCGGACTTATTACCATAAAAGACCATTTCATATACGCCTTTCCAAACTACCTAAAACCTTCTGTAGATTGCAAAATCTTTGCTGCAAAATGAAGAAAACATTGCCATTGGGCATCGTCAAGTGTCGGCCTCCATGTTATGTGGCCAAAGTTTCACCCAAACAACATTACAAGGTAACATATATAATGCCAACATGCAATTTTGTAACACGTTTCTCGCTCCCCCACCCCACAGCAGCGGGGACAGCCAGTCCACCCCCTCCCCCCTCAGCTCCACCAACTCCTCTCAGGACTCCCTACACAAGCAGCCGCCCAAGAAGCGCGGCATCAAGAGCTCCATCGGACGCCTCTTCGGCAAGAAGAAGGGCGAGGGAGGCAAGATGGCGTCCAACAGCAAGGAGCTGCTGGGCGCGGGGGAGGGCGACGTGTCCCAGGATGCAATGGGGCTGGGCGTGGGACCCGGCCAGAAGAGAGAGATGGAGAGGAGGCTGAAAAAGAAGTATGTGGTTTGTTTGTTATGTTTACCGAAGGAAAACATGTTGTTTTTGCTCTGTTTCCTCTTTCGTTCCAAACACCAAAGGTCATGTGACCATGGTAACAGGTGTTGGGTTACATTATGTTGCAATTTTATAGCAGGAGGGATTTACACTCCGGTCACTATGGTTTTGGTTAGTTTGGGGAACAGGTTTAGAAATTATAAATTATTATGTTTAAAATGATCAGATCCATCATAATATTTATATTCTTGATCAAAGTTTACCAGTTATGTGCCCAGTCTCTTATTGCCTTTTAGTATTATGAACAACTGTGATTTTGTTGATTTGGATTACTCTAACTTTTTCTAACTTTCAGTCAAAGGTTTTGTGTTCTTGGCTTTTGATGGTGTTTACCTTTCTGTTATACAATGGTTTTCTATGCCCAATACTGTTTTATGTCCAATGCCTTTTTCATATTTGTTCTCTTATGTTTGCTAAGTTCGTGTTTTGTTTTTTTCACACCTGGGCACTTTTTCTGTTGGAATATTAGTGGGAGCCAGATGCGGACGTCAGAAAAGTAAGGTTCAAAGGATTTTGTTCCAACTTTCTGTTGCTGTGTTTTTTTGTTGTTTTGTTGTACTTTTCTGTACAAGTGTTCTTGTAGATGTTTGTGTGTTTTGACATAGTTGATCATCAAACAAATGTTGTTGTTTTTTTTACTTTAAAGATTATTTAATGTCTTATTAATGCCATGGTTTTATTATAAGAGAAAACTGTGAACGTCAACTCTGTAGGATGGGGTCATCAATTATAAGGACACTGGTAACTGCTAACCCATTAAAAGTTCCTTCTAGGGAACTGTTGGTGGCATCTGTAGCAACCATGACTAGGCCTAGGGAAAAAAAGAATGTTGTGTTTCCTGTTTCCTGACGGAACCTAGGAAAAACTGCCGACCCTAGGCTTTTTAAAACGTTGTACAATCCATTCGTTTCCAACATTGAAATTGAAAAAAAAGTGTAAGTTTTACTTTATTCAACTGTAATTTGTATAAGTTTGATCACTGGAAATGGCCAAGTCTAATGAAAAAATTAAAACCAAAAAAAAAATCCCTAACTACCGACCATAACTTTTTCAGGACTGAAACGGGAACTTTTTTTCTTAGGCTCTCATGTGTAGTGCTTTACTTTAAGAGTCTTCTGATCTTCCCTATACTAAGGTCCTGACATTGTGTTTTATACAGATATGAACTCTTAGAAGAAGCCCGACGATCGGGGTTGCCATTCGCACTGTGGAACGGGCCTACAATAGTGGCCTGGTTAGAGGTAAGTAACAATTTTTCACTGTTCGAATGAAAGCTCATCTGTGTTGGTAGAATCCATAGTTAGAAGGTTTAAGCTTGTTCCAACACAAGGAAAGAAGTCACCATAAATTTTCGATTGATCTCATTAAACTTCATCAGATGTGTGATGCAATTGCTGACTTTCCGGAAGTCAGAAGCTTGATGACGTCAGGAATGGACGAAATCTGCCACCGTCATGGTTCAGAAAGGGTTGATGGAATTTTTCACTGTATTCTGGTTTTGATGTCTACGGTGACCATTCTTTAGTGGTAGATTGCTCTTGCACCCAGGAAGAATTGATAAAGAGTTTGGGCCCCCTAGCAGCTTGTTCTGGAACTACAGGGGCGTTTGTTGAAAATTACTGGATTCATCTTTCTGCCCGTAGCTGTGGGTGGGCATGCCTGTGTGACACATGGCCATTTTGAGTTTTTCCTGACCTGACGACAATTTTCTATCCATAGCTGTGGGTGGGCATGCCGGCGTGGTACGTGGCGGCGTGCAGGGCCAACGTGAAGAGCGGCGCCATCATGTCGGCCCTGTCGGACCAGGAGATCCAGCGAGAGATCGGCATCTCCAACCCGCTCCACCGGCTGAAGCTGCGCCTGGCCATCCAGGAGATGGTGTCGCTGACCTCCCCCTCGGCTCCCTCCACCTCCCGCACGGTGGGTACACCCGCCCCGCTCACCAGCCCTTCTTCTGCTGCCTCACCTCTTTAGTGCATAGAAACCCTGGGGACAAAATGGAACGGTCCAAATCTAACATGGCGGACTAGAATACCGTAAATCACTTTACAGTTGTAGTACGGTTTTCGCGGTCACTTCTATACAGCGAATTTATCATCACCGCGAACAGATAATTCGCTGTCTTTCTTTCTTCTGCTCCTTCCGCCACCGCGAATGCCTAGTTCCGTGGACCAGTTCTCAGGCCTCGAAATTTTGCTATCGCAAATATAAAGTGATTTACACTACTGTAAATCACTTTGTCTTCACGGTAGGAAAATTTCACAGTCTAAGAAAAAATGGACATGTTCACTGAACTTGATCTTCACAGTGGCAGCGAGTGCAGGGAGGGGGCTAAAACAAATGTTTTGATAACAGTAAAAAGTTAGGCTGGACCGTTCCATTTTATCTGAGGGGTGTACAGATCTCTACCTCCCATACTCATGCCATTTCCTGTCTACATTTTCAATGTGACTAAATTTTACCCCATCACCTACACTATCTGAGCTCCCCCCCCCAAAAAAATAATCACATCTGAAAGTTTGCTCCTTCATCTGGTGTTAGTTAACGTGACGTGGCAATGGTCAGGTTAGGTTTTCAAACTGAGCTGACCATACCTATCTTCAAGTTGACTCATCCAGTTGTGTGAAGGAAAGATGCAAAGGAATAGTCCACTTTGCACTAAACGGGGGTCGCAGGTGCCATGTAGTGCAGGTGACATACTTATCTAACACCTCCCTGTCTGCTCCCACATGCTGCCTCCCCCCAGACCACAGGGAATGTCTGGGTAACTCGCGAGGAAATGGAAAGCGAAAACCAGGCCATACCAGCCTTCACGGTCAGTACCTCACCCCACCAACAGGGGGCGTTTCAGTGTGTTCCAGATGTTTGCCTGCTCCATATGCATGCAACTCTTTTACGCATTTTTTTTTCGTTTGGCACCACACTGGATTTAAGCATTTTCACCATGCAAGAAATCTTTTGTATACTTTTGTTTGGTTCTAAATGCAAATTAATTTTTTTGCCCAGCTGTGGCATTTTACTTAGTTCGTTGCATGTCAAATAAAAGAATCTCACCCTTTTTTTTTTACATTGAGAGTTACAATCACCACATTTTACTCTGAATTAGATTACATGGATATTTTTCTTCTTTTTTTTTTTAAAGGTGCAGTATAGCACAGGACAGTTCTTTTTTTCGGTAGCACATTGTATACATGTATAAGGAGACTTTGATATGTTGTTAGGACTTTTGCGAGATCCTTAATGCCATCTTCAGCTTAACCATGTTGGCATATCAAACAACTTAGGAACATCCTTAAAAAGGAAATCAGATGTCTTGTTGAAAGTAGGATATAAGTAGGACAAGGAGAACACATGAAGAAGAAGTAGAATAAAGTGTAGGGGCAAGCTTATTAAAGAAAATTGAAAAATTAAGACTGATTGTATCAAAGCTACCATCGACGTATGGCCTGGGTATTTGATGTTTACTAAAGAAAGATCACCGACTGAGAGTTGAATCATCATTCCGTGTTTGTAAACCTGTCATTTTTTTCCCTCACTTTCTCTTCTTTTGTCCTGAATTTGTCTTGACTTTGTCGTGTCGCCCTCCTTTCTTTTGGTTGGCCCTGCTGCCAGACAAGAAAGCCGTCTTCCCTGTAAGGCAGCAGTGCACACACCACCCGTTAACCTTCACTCCTTTTTTTGTTGGCATCTTTTCCTTAGAAACTTGACCATTTAATAGAACAGCTCTCTGCCCTGGAAGAAGAACCCACAAACCCAGACCAGCTTGTATCCCAAGCAATAGAGCAGAGAGACTTGAAGGTACACCGGGTGCTGCTCTACCCAGCATGCTTTGTGTCTTCCCAGCAGTACCCTAGAGGATGACGTGTGCTGAAAAAACAAAAAAAACACAGAACCTAATCACTCTAATTCTTAGTGTGAGGCATCCAAAACATGTAACATAGATACAGTCCAGAATTACTACTACATTCAACTAACCATGACTTGTAAGAACTTGTTCCAACTCAACCACAGTCAGCATTTGCCTCATTGTATTGCATCATTAACATATTTCAGTACATTTTTTTTTATTGCTGCAGGTTTGCAGTTTGTATTCAGCTGGCTTCTGTTTTACATGTTTTCTGTTTTCATTTTTTCCCTAAACATACTTGTATCTCTGTCTTTTTATGCATTTTTTTCTCTTGCCATTCGTTCACACTTACGTGATACAGAATGCTGAAGCTTTTCTTTTTTATCTAAGTAGCTACTTGGAAGGTTGAGCATAACAGTAGGTATCGTATTAACAGGAGCACGTCGGCAGATCGTACTGCGCTTGTGTAAAACCTGAAATATATTGTGCAAAATCACTTTAGCAGAACATCTCTTTTGACTTCTTATTCATATGTTGTGTCAGAAAAGATATTGTCTGCAACAGGCAAAATTCTGATACAACGTTGACCAACATCCAACAAAAACGATTAAAAAACTGGGTTTTAAGTAGGTGCAGTACGTTCTGCCGACATGTTGTTTTAACAGAATAATTGGTCAGAATCGCGAAAGATTGACATAATAAACGAGCGACGTTTGCCCGTTGTTTTTCCTCCAGACGCTTGCGTACGGAGACATGAACCACGAGTGGATTGGGAACGAATGGTTGCCGTCGCTGGGGCTTCCGCAGTACCGGAGCACGTTCATGGAGTGCTTGGTGGACGCGCGCATGCTGGACCACCTCACCAAGAAGGACCTGAGGGGACAGCTGAAAATGGTGGACAGTTTTCACAGGTAGCCATTTTATATACAGTTCCCTGTAACCACACACGTGTGTAGATATGTGAATATTGTAAGGCCACACCAATTTAATTAGTTGGATTTGCCCTGTCCATTTTATTCTGATTTGCAACAAAAAAAAAGATTTTAGGTTCTAAATCAACTGCAAAATGCTCAATGAAAGACATATTTTGGCCCCAAGGGTTGAAGAAAATCCTTTTCCTCCTAGTTGTTAAAGTTTTTCCATGTAATAAAGCAACTTTGTTTCATTAAAAGTTCAAAATCTATTGTTTTAATTATAAACCAGCCTGGTATGTTGACTTCATGGCTCATATTGCAACATTTCTGGTCTTCGTGGACAAAAATCTTGGGAAAAAATAGAAAAATGTCCAAAGTACCACCAACAACCACTCTCAACCCCATGATTTGTCTCTCAAAATGTGGGAAAATTGCAATTTTAAAGGCTTGAAAATCCTAAATATGCCCAGTTCTCTAGCTTTACATCCCATCAAGAGGATCTCCCTATTTGTTAGATTTGGGGAAATGCTTGTGAAGTATAGGTTAAGAGCCAAGCATGGCTACAGTATTTACACTGTATAATCATTTGCAGACTGTTGTCTAACCAGACTGTTGTTTCAGAACTAGCTTGCAGTATGGCATCCAGTGCCTAAAAAGATTGAACTACGACCGCAAAGAACTGGAAAGACAAAGGGAGGATAGCAATAATGAAGTTAAAGGTAACGTCTGAACACTATTCTTAGATTAATTGATTTGATTGATGATTGACACCTGTCAAGCAACTCAATTGCTGTATTGTTTGCTTCAGTACGGTATGGTTTTATTTCTAAATTCTGAAGTTCTGTTTTCCAAGATATATACATGTATGGGGAAATGTTGTTTCATGGCCAATCCTCTGCATCTAGCTCATAAGTTAATTCAGTTAATGTAGGTTTTCACCAAAATATGTTGATCAGAATGTGAATTCTCCCTTCCTCAGATGTCCTCTTGAGGACCAATGAGAGAGTGAATTAATGGATACAATCGATTGGGCCACAATGTCTATTTATGTAGGTTTTTACCAAAATATGCTGACCAGAATGTGAATTCTCCCTTCCTCAGATGTCCTTGTGTGGACCAATGAGAGAGTGATTCGATGGGTGCAATCGATTGGGCTACGAGAGTACGCCTCCAACTTGATAGAAAGCGGTGTCCACGGCGCGCTGATTGCTCTGGATGACAGTTTTGACCACAATAGCATGGCACTGGCACTGCAGATACCTACGACAAACCAGCAGGTAGGCACCCTGTCCACCCCCGCATGGGGATGTAGATGGTACAGCCCACACCTGTTGTCTCTGCCTTCTTTGTTTCACTGATAGATTTTTTTCAAGAAAAGAGAGAACTAAGTTATTACGATATGTGTACGAAGTTTCTGCTCAACTGGTACTGTACTTAGTATTTGTGAGTGTGTGTTGGGATTTTTAAGGGTATCTGTTGTTTTACTAACACACTGGTGATATCTGTGTACAAAAAGTCAGCAGAGTGATTTGGTCACTGCCCCTTTTGTCCAACTTTACCTAGGAAACAGTGGACCCATATCTGTTACATAGTTGTTTGCTTCGAGATTTCTCTTTTAAAAAAAAAGTTGACAAAGTTTCAGGAAAATTATGGACCAAAAGTCCATATTTGAATTGTATCACTCATTGCTTTGTATATCTGTCCATCAAAAGGCCACGAAAAATAGCAGAACAACAGGAAAAAAGCAGCATCAAGAGGATATGTTATTATATTTCATATCAGTTATGTTTTTTATTAATAATATATTGGCAAAAAGCAGTCCTGAAGATGCCCAATTTGCCCCCCTCCCCTCCAGAAAACATTGTTGTTTTTGTCTACTGTTTTGAAGGAAGCTAGTTGTGTAACACATGATTGTCTATTCTGCACCCACATTCAATATCTGTCATAGGATGATATAGAGCCCATGGGCCGATTTGATGGAAAGCAAGGGCTTCCAAATGCTCTCATGGTATGTACAGTACTTGTAGGTAAACTGTTGCTCCAACATGATCATGTGTAGTGAGTTGGAACATTAGTTGTGGTCGCTTGTAGAGACCTAATCCTAAACGTAGGGCTTTCTTACTCTTAGTAGATACTAATGTGCAGATTGGTATTAGCATGGCAGTGCATTGCCACTAGCTTTACTACTGAAAAATGCCCTAACAACGAAACACTTGTATGATACTATCAATCACAAAAATATGAAACAGGACTAGAAAACTTTGTTCAATTTCTTACTGGGATTTTAATTCTTTGAAAATCTTACCAGTAAATTTAAAATCTGTAAGACCAGAAAATTTTTTATCCTACTTTGTGAATTTTCTCTTAGTGAACATTATTCTGTGAAAAATTAATACCAAGCTCCTTGTTCATTGGTAGGTCAGGTAGTATTCAGTGTTTTGTCCTCAAGTTTGCAGATCTGTCTTACTTCAGGGTGTAATAGGAAAGTGTAAGGGTACACTTATTTCCTTACTGCATTCAGTATAATTATAAGAAGTGGCAAGGCATGACAATGTATTTTTCATGCGAAGAAAAATGTTTAAAAAAAACAACACAAAATCAGGTGCAAAATGAACACGAAATCAGGTGCTGTAACAGCAATAGAATTGTTAGATGTATTAATATTTATAGAGTGGACTTTCCAACTTGTGAGGATTCAGATCTTGAAGTTGATGTCTTCTCAGCTAGAATTTTATTATCTTTCATTGAGGATTTTTTTCTAAATTTGTGAGAAAGTCAAAGCTGCTTATCATTGATCAATTAATAACAGTTTAAATCAATATATACACATTAAGCATCATTAGCTCATAACTTAAGTGTGATAGCAAAGTTGCAATTACATGTAGTGTGTGATGACTGCATGATGAGCATGGTACTACAGGCAAATGTTACAATGCAGACTAATTTGCATGTATGTGATTTGTTTGAGGCTAATTTGCATGTCTGTGCCTTGAGAGTGCTGCATGCATTGTGTAAAGATAGTACAAGGAAATTGTCATAATATTTATATCAGTTCATATGTTGATAGATGAAAAGGTGTCATACCTTTTCTTTTATTAGTTTGTGGCGTACATGTATGTTGAGGACTGTATGCATGATGCCCCCACTCCATGTACATTATATATGTATGCTGAGGTTCAGTTATGTAGACATGAACAAAAATGTTTCTTGTCAAGATAGATATATTTTGACATTCATTTCATTATGCAAAACTATCTCATTACCATAATTTACAGCATGATTACTATGACCCATGGTGCAACAAAAGTTGTGTTTTACCACAATAAGGCACCATTGCACAAAAGCCTTGGAGGTAAAGTTTACTCCATCGCTGAACAGCATAGTCTGTATTTTTCTTTCATGTACATAAAAGTAACAAGTACTTCACAAACATTTTTCTATCTGGTTTTATAATTCTCGTTGTGGATTATATCCAGTTTGTTTTTTTTTGTCCCTGCAATTCCTCAGAACAGTTCTGACAAGCCTGAGTCAAAGCTAAATTCAACTTAACTGATTCAACTAAATTCATGAATAGTCTTGAAGAAATGTGCCACCTCATCTCAACAGGGCTACCGTAATGTTGCTTGGTTTGCAAAAAATGATAAGAGCAGTTTGTTTGAGTTATGTCTCATGAACGAACAATGATCGAGAGTTTTGTTTTGTTGACCTACTGATTTTGGTTCTTTCCTCTGTAGGCACGGCAGGTTCTAGAAAGAGAATTCAACTCCTTGCTCGCCCTGGGGACAGACAGGAGACCACTAGAGGTAAGATGTTTACTCCGCTGTGATTGGCTAACGTTTTAATCTTTCACCCAATCAGAGGAGAGATGGCCCTGATTGGCCAGTGTTGTCATTCTTTACCCAATTAGAGGATAGTTGGCCCTGATTGGTTGACGCTATTACCCTTCCCCCCAACCAGTGTAGAGATGGCCCTGATTGGCCAGTGTTGTCATTCTTTACCCAATTAGAGGATAGTTGGCCCTGATTGGTTGACGCTATTACCCTTTCCCCCAACCAGAGTAGAGATGGCCCTGATTGGCCAGTGTTGTCATTCTTTACCCAATTACAGGAGAGTTGGCCCTGATTTGATGATGATATTACTCTTTCCTCCAACCAGAGAAGAGATGGCCCTAATAACAGAAAAAACAACCCAAATTGAAATGAAAGCTTAGTATATTTTCCAATCCTAACAGTTCACAATATTTTCCTGAACCAGGGTGATGGTAACTTCAAGCGGCAGCCATCTTGGAGAAGGAGATTACGGCCCAAAGAAGTCGGCGGGATGAAGGAGAGGGAGGCCGTCATGGCGGGCGCCGACGGCACGGGAACACTGCCATCCAACTTCCGTATCCGCGGCCCCGGCCCTCAACCCATGTCCACATCACCTGGCTCCAGAAGACATCAGAGAGATGGTACGACAACTGTTCTTCAGACTGCAGAAACCTCTCCTTCTTTATGTTCCTCCAGACCGCTGTTCTAGCCAGCATCCGTCTTTCTGTCATTTGACGTGATTTTACTGCTCATGACGGACAAAAGTTTTGTCCAATCCGTCATCTTTGATGGACTAAAATCAATGTGTACAGACATGGAAAAAGATGTCATTGAACTAAGCCCAGTCTACCAGCAAAATTTCCCCTACAAATGCAGGAAGTAGTGTTTCAGAGGGTCAAGATTTCAAAATTTTCCCAGGGAGCATGCTCCCAGATGCCCCTAAGATTGTTGCACTGGCACTCAAGTTAATGTTACAAAATTTCAGAATTACGAACAAAATTGAGATGACAAGAAAAAAATTCAGGCTGGCTAGAACACTGCTCTAGACTCTTTCTACTCAAATGATAATAGCACATCGATCATGAATTACATGTACTAGAATCATCATCCTTTTACATCATCTGAAAAACCCATGCGCTTCATATCTCTTTTGAATTGCCATTTTTGTTTGCCTCTGTCCTGCTTCTTTCTTTCTTTTTCTTTTCATAAAAAAAAAAGAGTTTGCCATAATTGTCATATTACACACACAGGCAGCAGCCCCTCTCCTCAGCCCATGACAAATGTGAGAACTTACTCCTGCTGACACCCCCTCACAACCACAGGTAGTGTCCCCAACACCCCTATTTTGAAGTAGCCTGTCCCACCCTCACATGTTGAATACTAGCTTATCGGGCCACCTTATTTGAAACTAGGGGTCAACAGGATATTTAACACGTTTGCGGTCTGTCTTCTCTTGTGTTGCTGTCTCTATACTATTTCAGCATTCATCCCAATAATTTTTTGTATTTGAAAGTGTTGGGTTAAGGAGATTGAAGCTACTTTTACTTGTTATAAGGAGAAGTAGAAACTTACCTATTTAATTTGTCTACAAAACACAGTCGAATTTGTGCCATCTCATGTTAGTGAATTCGTCCCTCTGACCCTCTGTTTTTCTTCATTTTGTCCATGCTTGTTTGCATGGTTTTTACAGGCAGGTTTGACTCAATATTTACATTTTTTTTTCAAATTTCAGGTCACCCCTCAGAGATGACTTGATGGTACAGTCCGTCCTGTGTGCCCGATCACACATCAGCTACACAGGAAGGGGCGGGGGAGGTGGGCGTGGCGTCTCCATGGACACCAGCCTCTCCCGACCCCCGTGGAGACAACATTTTCGAAAAAAAAACACCACACCACATGTAAACACAACCAATGCCGACAACAACCGTGTACAGTTCTACTCTTCCATGTCCCTCTCTCCCCGTCCGGGGGTTTTCTCGGGCCCACTTTTGTGAATATTGAAATACTTGTACTTAATTAACGACCGTGTTCTGCTTGCCACGTGCGTGATGAGTCCTCCGTGCTGTATTATTGTGACATTTCACCCGAGCGATCGTCTAGAGGTATAACTGATCGAGAAGAAACAAAGACTGTCATTTTTTCCGTCAGTACTTGGCGTTTAGGGGATTGAACAAGAGAGTAAGGGCTTCTTCCTCAGTACATAGTCAAGCCCCCAAAAAAGTCCCTGTATTTAATAGATCCTTACGAGAGGAATGTGTAACAATTTAAGACATCTCAGAATGTTTTGTAGATGAAGAACAGATGGATAGTAGTCTCCACACACCGCAGAAGGCATCCTGGCTACAGATTTCGCACCGAAAGTCCTCGCCAACGAGAAGACAAAAGAAAGCCTGGACCACAGCCAGTGATCTTTGCAATTGGTGAAATGTTGGTCAGGTGTTATCACGTCCAAAAATGGCTGCACGGCTGTAGTGAAAAAAGAGGACGGGACAGTAGCAAGGCTGAAATGACGATCGGTACAGGACAAAGGCACCCGTCCTGTTTTCGGATAAAGTACAGGATGACGCGTAGGAAGCATTCGAGCAACATCTGGTGCGGAGGAATGTTTCCTGTTCCACAGTCCACATCTACAGTGTTAGCTGTACTATACTCCACGTAGAAGTGTCCCTCCAGATGTCATCTTCTGACCCCCCTCTGACACAATGGACTCTTCCTCTGCAAAAAAACATGGACCGACCCGCTGTGAAACTTTGACATCATTGGACGGGGTTTTGGGACCAGTCCACTCATGTAGAGGGGGTTTGCCGAATGGTTCAACCAAAAATTGTTATCACTGTATGAAAACGTAAAGGACAGTCTGAAAATGTAGAGCTATTTGTAGACAACTGATGTTTTGTTTCTCCATCATGCATAGCTAGTGACGTGTATGTCGGAATCATGTAGCCCCCTACCCCTAACACCCCTACCACTCCAGATTTGTAAATTACTCTGCAATCTGTAGCTATAGTAGTCATGATAATTCTCAAGAAACGTAATAGCAATAACCCCCCCTTCTTAGTCCTGGGATGTACTCTTCCCTTGGTCTGCATCGTTTATTTATATGCAAAAAAAGGATGTCTTCTACCCGATAATGTAGCCAGGCCAGGATTCTCTGTAATTTGTGTAAGTATATGATATATTTGGCTCCATTTTTGTATGAAAAATAACATTATATTCCAAACAGTTAATATATACTCATTTGAAATATCTCTCCATGTATAGTTCAGAATGTGTTCAGACAGTGGGCAGTTGCAGCTATGACTTATTCCCCCCATAATGAAGACATTGGAAGGACTAAAGGCTAAAGGGACAACATTCTCTTCACTGGTTCGCCCTGTTTTTTTGGCACCACCACAGGAGCGGAGCCATTTAGATCAGTTGTCTCAGTACAGGACAATAGTAGTGTTGATGAGATCTCTATCCTTTATGTGGGTAGGCACTCATGATAGACTGGAAAGGTTTATGATAGTTCTACTAGAGAAGTTGTGGTTTTCCGTGGTGTTTTAGGCACAGCACGGGCATTCACGTAACTGCGTGCTGCGTTCTTCTGGTGCTGTCTAAATGTATCATTGGTCAGTTCAAACCACAAACAGGGTACAAAAAAAAATAGGTCAAGCCATTTTCCAAACAAACAAATTGTATTGTGGGGCTCCTTGCTGTGGCTGAGACAAGTAGCCGTGTGTACAGCTGCCTCCTGTTGTGACCCACTCAACAGCTCCTCCTAGGGGAGGTGAACGGTATTGCAATATTCCGATTGTTGCACCTTTTCCTTCAACATGTCAGAAGGTTCCCACTAGTCACGATTTCAGCACTGCTCCTGTTTGGGAATGAAACACAAATACTTTTTGGCAGTTTTTCATTTTAAAGAAAGGATACCAGGAAGTTTTTCCCCCTGTATTTCGTCTTGGGACCACTACTTCAGCTTGTAGCTGGCTGTACTTTCTCACCACTCGATGGAAAATGCCGTACAGTATACATGTTCAGCACTGTGTGCTAGATAGAGAGTATGCAAAGGAGGAGCAAAGGGTTTCTCTCAAAGGGAAAACCAGTTAGGTGTAAGGTTGATGGAGGTATGATGGTGTTTAGTCGACCCCAAATTTTTTACCTTGATCTTTTAGGTCACAAACAGGAGCATGCTTCATTTATAAAGACTCGTAGTCTAGTAAGAAATGTACAGAGATTTCAAAAAATAGAGGTTACATACATTAGATGTCTTTACAGTGTCCCTATACCATGAAATTGTACAGTATAGCAGATGATCTTGGATAATTGTGAGAGAATGAAGGAATTTACAATTTAGCTGCTCAAAGATGTGTTGTTCCGTGAATCCCCTATGTGTTTTCGACATCAAGAGTTGAGAGGGAGCCACCATGGTGTAGCAGTGTATGTTCATGCTTGTCTAGCAGTGTGGACTGGAAACGTTCACACTCACTTCTAAGTCTGGATGGATGTGCAGAGCTGGAAATGTGTTTTACCCCAATGTAGTCTTGGCCAAAATATTCCTCTACCTTTCACCAAACCTGAATCCAACATAGGGTCCAAATTTCAGCCGCAAATTTTTTTGTTGTTGCCAAAAAAGTACTAGCATACAGCATGTACAAAATGTATTGTCTGAACTCCTCATTGCAAGTCCTATTCATGACCACTTTGTGAAATTGGCAAGAAAACCGCAGCAGTTATATAGACGTGTCATGTAGCAACAAAATAAAAGATGTTTTGATGGGATAAAAAGCCCCCGATTTTAACAGGTCTTCAGTAGAATCAGATCCCTGAACAAGACTATCAAAACATATTTCTTGGCCTGTTCATGAGTAGTACATACTGCCACTTCAGACAACTGTTGTTGAGGGGGATGAAAGAATGAGTGAATGGTGGCTCCCCATTGGTCAGGCCTGCAGCTGCCCACATATAGTAGACAGAGTAGGAAGTACAAGACTGGCACTCGTCAGAATGCAATGACATGCTTTATACATCATGTATCATAACTATACAGAATAAATCCAAACAGTAAGTTATTGTTTGTAAAGTCATGGTGCACTGATGCCTTTCCTTTTTGTGCATGTATGTGTGGATGTTACTTGTTGTACGTAAGGCCACACCAGTTTGTTTTGTTGTGGTTTTCAAATTTTTTTGAAAAAATGTAAAGCAGTAGGGCGAAAACAATAACTAGAAACTTAACATTTGCAAAGCAAATGCATAATGTTTACCTTCGCACATGGTCAGCTCTGTTCATTCTTACTCAAATACATTCATATATATGGTCAGACAGGAGTCTAAATCCTTCCTACTATAAGATTGCAACATTATGTAACCCAACACCAGTTACCATGGTGACATGTCAACAAATCAGGTCATTGGCCATGTCAGAGGTTAGTGTTTGGAGAAGAGGAAACTGAGCAAAAACAAGATGTTTTCCTTCGGTAAACATAAAAACAGACGTAGGCATTCTATGATAGCCCCAAAAGCTATATTAGGATGGCATCAACATACCAGGCTGGTTTGTAACTCAATGAATTTCAAACTTTTAACCAAACCACTGCATTAATGGAAAAAAAAACTGTAGCAACTCAATGACAATGAAGGGACTTTCTTAAACTCTTGGGACGAAAATATGAACATTTTGGATTTGATTCATAGTTTGAGATTTTTTTCTGGTTCAGAAAAAAAGGGGCCAATCCAAGAACCGACAAATTAAATTGGTGTGACCTAATCAGAGATACTTAGAGTGATACATAAATTCATGTGTTTCGAGAACCCTCAACATTCATGTGTATATACTGCTAGAATACAAGCCTCCGTCAGGTTTTAGAGGCAGCTGAAAAGAAATTAGCCATTTTATATACGCAGTCAATAATGCAGGGGAGTTGTTTACGTCTGCTAAATCTACTTGAAGTAACTGCGTCTACAGTTACAGCCTCCTCACTTCCTTCCACTCTACTGCATTAAAATACCAACAGACACACATGGAAATATACACCAAAACGTAATCCTTACCCGGAGTTAAAAATACATCTGATTCATCATTTTAGTGCATTGTACTTATATTCTATTATAAATCATTATTAGAAAGGCTTACTATTACTACTACCGAACACGGAGGTTGGGTATTTTCTATTACTATAGAGAAGAATGGTTGCATTTCTGTAGTTATTTCCATAAGCTATGTGTATCGATATCGCTACAACTAGGCTGAAAAATGTATTTCTAGCCCTGATTACGTGAACAAGAATTTGCATCCTTCATACACATGGTGCAAAAATGCGCCACCAAACGGCCGAAGTTATCACTGCAGTACACGCATCCAGCAGTAGCATACAGGTGAAGATGATTCGAGTGTGTTAGTCCATGGGCAGAGACTGATTTTTTGTACCACTGAGACGGACCAAGGCTACCGTAGATTTTTGAATCTGCAATAACCAAAGTTTATTTTGATCTATGATAGCAAGTCTGTATGAGTAGCTTTCTTGCTGTAATCACGTGACTAAATGACGTCATCAGAATGGAACTCTTGCCTTAGGACTAAATCCAAAGGGCCCGGAAAAATATCAAACATCAATAATTCTCGGCGAAAATTGGTTTGTAGACAAAACATGACACAGTAATCACAACACAATAGATTTTTTGCCGATATTCTGCATTTTTACGCATTTGAACTCCGATTTTGAGGGTAATTGTGTAAAAACTCATTGTTTACTTCCCAAAATCAGGCATTTATTCAGGCTACCTATCTGTAGTTACGAGTGTACGAGTGTGACTTTTCAGCTACTTTCCGACCAAAAATTGTGAAGAAGCCTTAAAAGTTATACCATTTATATAAGTCATAAGCGTGCACCTGTGGTGTTTCTGCCACTGTAGCAATTTTCGAGCGCGTTCGCGAATGGTATACTTTCAACAGTTTTCATTACAAAAAGATAGCTAACACCAGGAATGGACGAAAGTAATCGATGAAAACAAACGTCGCAATTCACGGAGAAAGGAAGAAATCCTACCTCTTTAGGCTTGCTGGTGCTTCAGGACTGAAAGAAACTATTCAAGTTTAAATGTGCGCCTTTATTTGCTGTTGAAAATTGTTTTGTTGTTCGTTTTTGTGGAGAGAAATCCTGTTGTGTGACTGTCATCTAACGCGGTCAGCCTTCGAATGATACTGAATTCGAACATAAACAAAATTGCTGCTTAGCAACTGCTTGTTGCCGCACATTCGAATCTGTAAACAACTCTGTTGCTTAGCGATCTTTTGTTGTCACGGATTCAAATTTAACGGTCTTCTAACGCAGTGTACGGGCACCATCAGACACGACCGATGAAAACAAACACGCAAAACATGAAAAAAGGGTAAGACAATCCTACCTATTTTAGGCCTACAGGTTCCCAAGGTGGTGAAAGAAACTATTTGTGTTAAGATGTGTACCTTTATTTGCAATTAAAAAGTGTTTGTAATTCATTTCCTTCAGACCGTTCCTGTTGTGTGGGCGCCTTTCGTGTGAACGAATTCGAAAGTAATCGATGAAAGCAAACGCTCAATTCACGAAGAAAGAAAGAAAATCCTACCTCTTTAGGCTTGCTGGTGCTTCAGGACCTGAAACAAACTATTTATGTTTATGTGTGCCTTTATTTGCCTGTGAAAATTGTTTTGTTGTTCGTTTTTGCGGAGAGAAATCCTGTGTGACCGTCTCCTAACACGGCAAGTCTTCGAATGATACCGAATTCGAACATGTAAACAACTTTGCTGCTTAGCAACCACTTGTTGTCGTCACGCATTCGAAGCTGTAAACAACCCTGTTGCTTAGCATGTTTGTTGTCACGGATTCAAATTTAACGGTCTTCGAGCGCAGCGTACGGGGACAATCAGACACGACCGATGAAAACAAACGCGCAAAACATGAAAAAAAGAAAGACAATCCTACTTATTTTAGGCCTACAGGTTCCCAAGGTGGTGAAAGGAACTATTTGTGTTAAGATGTGTACCTTTATTTGCAATTAAAAAGTGTTTGTTCATTCCCTTCAGACCGTTCCTGTTGTGTGGGCGCCTTTCGTGTGAACGAAAGAAATCGATGAAAACAAACGCTCAATTCACGAAGAAAGAAAGAAAATCCTACCTCTTTAGGCTTGTTGGTGCTTCAGGACCTGAAACAAACTATTTATGTTAATGTATGCCTTTATTTGCCTGTGAAAATTGTTTTGTTGTTCGTTTTTGGGGAGAGAAATCCTGTTGTGACCGTCTCATAGCGCGATCAGCCTTCGAATGATACTGAATTCGAACATAAACAAAATTGCTGCTTAGCAACTGCTTGTTGCCGGACATTCGAACCTGTAAACAACCCTGTTGCTTAGCACTTGTTTGTTGTCACGGATTCAAATTTAACGGTCTTCTCGCGCAGCGTACGGGGACAATCAGGCATGACCGATGAAAACAAACGCGCAAAACATGAGGAAAGGAAAGAAAATACTACCTCTTGACAGATGCCCAGGTAAGAGGTAGTATTTTCTGGCAGAGGGCGCAGGACAGAACCATCTGGAAGACAACTTGGAGAGGCGCGACGCTCCCCGGAGCATGCGGTGCTGAGTGAGTGAGTGAAATAAATTAAAGGCACACATTAACATAAATAGTTGGTTTCAGGTCCTGAAGCACCAGCAAGCCTAAAGAGGTAGGATTTTCTTTCCTTCTTCGAGCGTTTGCTTCCATCGTGCCTAGATTACTTTCGTTCACACAGTGAATCAGCAGTTGTCGTCCTGTCCTCTTTCTTTCCTTTAATTACATCTACACTTATCCCACTGTCGTGACTCATTGGCCATAGTTATACATTAGAAGCAGAATTTCTTGGGTTTTTTTTCTGGAAAGAGGCCAAAAATCCATGCGCGCACGGACGTCATCCATAAAAATTACTTGGTATGGCCTAAATAAGGACACTTTACTTATTTTTGTTAGTGTTGCTTCTATTTGTATGTGTAAATAAAGTGCATATTGCTAACGTTAAGATGTTAAGTATGTTGTTACTTTTTCTTAATCCTCAAAAAATATATAAAAAAACTGTTGGTGAAATTAAGATATTGTTGATATACAGGCTTCTATGTATTATATACGGTATATATGTACTAAAACACATCAATCCTCCCTTCTCCATGGGTGTTCTCTTGTGTCAAACAATACGTCTAGTATGTAGTATTGAGGTCACAACTGCAATGCATGGAACTGATGGTGAGTTCAGCACCAAGGAGAGGTCCACACTTATGATTAACAAATGGGGGGGGGGGCATCCACAAGTTGGGGATATAAACACTTGCTGCGGCAGAAGGTATCCTGATCGTTGGGTTTGGCACAGAAAACAAATCCAAAATTGTGCGGCGAGAATAATTACTTTTGAATGGTGGCGGAATGGTGATGATTAATTATCAAGAGCAATAATGATTAATGTCGTTCGCACCCCTATATAATTATCACACATGGTACGTTCGACCAGGTGCAGTGCAGCTGTGTGACACACGTTGGCGTACGTGAGGCGTGGTGTGCGGGAATCCTCTCCAACTTTTGGGGTACATTTTCGGCTTTTTGCCCGCAATTAACCGTCTAAAGTGTACAATACATCGTCTGAACGTTTCGATGTCGGATTTACGCCGTTCTTTGGATGTTTGAGGGAGAAAAGTCGTTTTTCCTGACAGGGTGAAGTTTGGAAGAAGAAACGAAGGAGCGCGGAAAATGGCGACTGCCATGGCGGGAAGGACGGCGTGGTGCTGAGAGGACTTGTTCTTGCGAGGTAAGACAACAAACTACCTCCTTGAATGTACATGTTTGTACTTCCAACAAACCTGTAGCAACATACCAGGTTATAATTCGTTGTGTTAACCGTTATTTTCAGTACAAATTTGCGTTTCGTGGAACGATAAGAAAAAGCCTATTCTCGTACACAATTGTGTTGTTTTAGGCCTTTTAGGCCATTTTAAGTATTTTTGATAGGGTCAGGTTGCTTTCTTGGCTATCATGGTTTTGGGGAACACTAAATGTACGTTTCGCTGCTAAAACGGTTACAAACACGTTTTGTATCGTTGGAAATTTCCGCAATTTGGTTCAGGGAACACCTTTTGGAACGTACCGCACGTGTGCTTAATTAAACCCACTCAACGTTCCCGCCAAAAACGTCGCGTAAACAAGACTTCCCAAGGCCAAAATTAAAATGGTGTATCCTTGCTTTCGAATCAGAGGTTGTCACATTGGATTTTATGCTTCATTGCCAAATTATATCTTATTGATATATAATTGTATTGACTGTATTGTTCTGATTTGATTTTGAGGTTGAACTATGCAATCTTGGTCCTTATTGTATCATTTATAGTATCCATAGCTAGTGTTAGTACTTTGTCTTTTTATTGTTTAATTGCATGCAACTGTGATGACCATTTCTGTGGCTTATGTTACATATTTTATGTGTAGTTTTTAAAACAAGTGTACCTCAGCATGGCGGCAGCTTATCTCGTTGCTAGGGCGACCGGCCAGTTGCTACGGGGATTGTCACGTGACATAATAATATAATGTCATATTTTAATTTTTGTCTGTAGACTAGTGGACACTTGGCTATATTCCTCTTTTCAAAAGTTTGTAGCGTTGTTTTAATTTTTTCCATTAGGCCACAGCAAGTAAACTTTATGGATGACATCCTCTGCAGACTCCAACTCTAATGCGATCGGGAAAAAACAAGGCAGGCAAAAAAACAAGATTCCTACGTTTTCAAATTTTGACATTATAAAGCTTGTTAAACAAAAAAAATACCTACATAATATATAATATAATATTTAGTATATAAATTCTAAAAGCCATCACTAATGTATATAAAATGCAATATTTAACTAGAAAGGCCAATATTTGCTTTGGAGCAAATACAGCGATGGGTTCACCACATTTTACGACATGGCAGGGAAAGAATGAGAAACACAAGGGAAAACAATGATTTACATTGATATAACTATAATTAAGGGTTAATGACCCGCCCCGAGGTGAATATGGTGTGATAAAGCCTTGTCAGTTGCTATAACCACCGAATAATGCCACCAAGTGAGCGCAGCGAACGAGGTGGCTTTATGAGGTGGTTATAGCAACTGACAAGGCTTTATCACACCATATTCACCGAGAAAGGGCGGGCCATTAACGCTATTATCATATAGCTTACACGATAGCCTATCCAAACTGATGCAGTGAAGAGTGACACAATGTACAATTTACCCCTTGCACATGCTGAATAGAATATAGAATATTTGTTCCATCTGGAGTCACCTGAGGTCACTGGGGGGTTCACGTTCTATCTGGGTCACAGGCAGGGAACAGGTGTTCTTATGGGAGTCACCTGAGGTCATCGGAACACAACTCAAGTTATTTTTGGATTTTTTTAGAAGTAGAGCCGTGTTCTATTGGGTCACCTGAGGTCACATGCGTGTGATTATTCATTTTGTTTAATGTATGGATTGGGATGAATAAATACCCGATTTTGACTCTATTTGTGACATTACGGCGACATAAAGAATGTGGAATGGAGCCTTCTGATTGGTCAACGTCACCCGGCTATATGATAATATGAAGTAAAATACAGTTGGATAGCTATTCCCTACTTTATTGGTTAGGATTTTTAATTGCATAATGCAAACTGTTGATTTTCAAAATAAAAAAAAACGTCCATGCCCCGCATTCCAATGCTGGAGCAGGAAAGCTTGAAATACCTACCAAAACACTTGAATACAGACATACTGTCAGTATGGAAATGCTCTGTGCAGGTGTTAATCAAGTTAAATCCCAACAGCCAATCAGCAAGAAATGCTCTGTGCAGGTGGAAATGGTCTGTGCAGGTGTTAATCAAGTTAAATCCCAACAGCCAATCAGCAAGAAGTATAGAGGAAAGCTGCATGCCTATTGGTTGATGCCCTGCATTCCATTGTGATGACTCATGCCCAAACGTGGTAAACAAGGCACACTAACACAGTAATACATTTGCTATAACACAGCCAAAAAACTCAAATAAAACCATTCTAAAAGCCTGTATCACAATAATTTAAAAAACGCCTAGGGGTATTTGCCCACTCTACCTCCATACCAAATTTCAGGACCTTGGGCCCTAAAATGAAGAAGCTGAATCCATTTAAAAAATGGCAGGAGGAGAAACATCAGAAAAAGCAATATGGGTTCACCACCACTTCGTGGTGTGGTGAACCCATAATAAAATAGCCAATGCTGAAGAGAAGGAGTTATCAAATATAACATTACATATATACAGTGCGGCAAGACATACAATGTATGTGGCATAGATATAGATCTCGAGGTGTATATGTGAGTAAAGCTACCAAATATCATTTCTACACAAGTGTACCAGATGAAATATACAGTCTACTGGATATCAAAGCATGTTCCTCAAACTGAATAAGTTACTGCATTGGTTCAATTTAATCCTGTCTCCAGTGCTACTTTCTAATAAAATGAGTTTTCTCGGCAGACTGGGCATTCCTATGGCACCGAAAACAAATATTGACACAGATACAACATTACTGGAATGACTGTTTCTAAATGAAAAATATCAATATGACGGCACCATTAATGGAAATGTGCGGCATGCTTTTATGTAGCCAAACAAACAATGATCAGACACCATACAAAATATTTTCATCAAATGCTGGTGTGCCTATAATATTCACAGCTCTGTGCTCAGATTACAATTGTTCCTACTAGTAGACAGTAGTATTCATTGGGTCTGGCATAGACATCTTTAAATGCAGCTCAGCTGCAGTACAAAGAAGTTAAGAATTTAAAAGAAGTTAAAATATTCAGTAAAATAAAACGTCGCTACTAAATCTATTCTTAGATATTAAACAAATTACTACAACTTTTTATAAGTGCAGTGAAGATTTGGACAATTGTCTTTCTTGAAGTAAGAGATTAATTTACAAAATGGCAACAAAGGTTTCCCACATTCTCACTTTTCAGATTTCCATGAGTCATAATATTGTGATTCGAACCGGTAAAACTCTAGGTTTAGCGTATCTGGATGTCTCTGTCCTTGCATTTTTCTACACTACTATGAGATGCCGGGTCATGTACTTAGCTACTCCCATACAGTTCTTCAGTTGAAAACCCCCGAGATCAGAGATTGACATTAATGCCGCTTGGCTACATCTGACGCTTGTTCTTTTCTTCCACATCCGTTTCGCCTTGCTGTTTATCAGCATTGTCAGGAACAGTCACATAAACGTGATCAGTGTCATTTGAGTCGGACAAAGCAGTGACGAAGTGTGCAGAGATTTGTACGTCTTCCTTTGAATCCCTTTTCATTTGTTGTTCTACAGGATTTTCTGTCACAGGAATCGTCACATTATAGGTGTGGTCAGAGTTCTCGCCAGCATTTTCCGTACTAGGAATCGTCATATTATAGGTATGGTTGGAGTTCTCGCCAGCATTTTCCGTACCAGGAAGCGTCACATAAGTGTGGTCGGAGTTCTCGCCGTCATATTCCGTACCGGGAAGCGTCACATAAGTGTGGTCGGAGTTCTCGCCGTCATTTTCCGTACCGGGAAGCGTCACATAAGTTTGGTCGGAGTTCTCGCCGTCATTTTCCGTACCGGGAAGCGTCACATACTCATTCTCTGATACTTCAGCAGCACTTGCAGAAGGGGAGACAGGATCTTTCTGTCCTACCTCTCTCCCTTCTACTTTGTTCTCTGGTAACGACATATAGTCATGATCTGATGAGTCACTGTCCTCATCAGTTTTATCGGCAGAACCCTTAGCAGTCTTGTCGTTGTCATAGTGTCCAGACTGTTCTTTGTCGCCAGATACCCCATTGGCTGAGGCTGTCCTAGCGTTGCTGTCACTGGAGTTTTGTCCCCCGTCTTTACTCTCGTTGTCGTAGTGTCCACTTGCGTGTACCTCAGCATGGAAAACAACAATATTTGAAGCTGCCGCAGCAGGTTTGTTGCTTGACGTTGCTCTTGATTTAACCAAGCCCCTCTTGTTGTGACGATGCCTCTTCCTTTTGGCTCTCGCAGCGGAGGATGTTCTTGCTGGTGCGTCGCTGGCCTGCTGCCCTGGGGCAGTCATCTGTGAGTTCTTACTCGGACCATCATCGGAGAATTGGTCGTCATTCTCATAGTGTGCTTCTCTATTTCCTCCGGTGTCTGAGAACTGGTCTTCGTTTTCGTAGTGTCCCCCTTTAGCTCCTTCAGTGTCTGAAAACTCATTGTCGTTCTCATAATGGCTTTCCGAGTCTTCGTTCGTGTCTGAAAACTCGCCGTCGTTTTCGTATTGTGCGTTCCTTGCCCCGTCTGTGTCTGGAAACTGGCTATCATTTTCGTAATGGTTTCTCGAGTCGCCATTCCTGTCAGAAAACTGGTCATCATTTTCATAGTGACCGCCCCTGTCATCGGTTCCATTGTGCCCGTCTCGAGCGGCCCTTCCTCTGTTGGCTCTGTCCGCCTGACGGGCTTCTTTACCGTGACACCAGCTCACACAAGTAGCTAGCACCACGACAATAACGGTACATCCGCAGAAAGAGCCCAGTCCGACCAGCACAAGCTGAGTAGTGGACAGGTCAAGGTCCGGGCGATTTGCTGTCTCCTCTTCAACACCTTGAATAAAATTTTTTTGTTGTTAATTCAGGTGAACGTTTGTACATTTCCATTGTTATACTTTGTTTTATTATGAACTCCAGGAACAATAGTGATGTATCACTTGTTATAACAGATCTAAATTCAGCAAACAAACTCACCTTTATCGGGCGGTGTGACGACCCTGGCTGTTGTCTGAAGCTCTTGGCTGTACGCTCTGGTGGTACTTTTCTCCATGGTGCCACTACTGACGGTCAGTACGGCGGATGCGCTTGCGTTGTCCGTATGGTCAGCTGTGACCAGACACGTGTAGGTACCCTCTACATCGCCACCAGCCCCAGGGACGCTCAACGCGGAGTAACACATCCTCCTGGTTTCCAGGTGTGTGACAGGCGAGCCTTTACAAGACGAGTTGCTGACATGCGTGTAGTTCTTAGAGTACTCGTAGCTCGGTGGTCTGTAGTCTCCACTCGGTGTGATCCATGCGAACGTCACACCTTCCTGGCAGTCTGTCTGGCAGGTGAAAGTGTCTGTGGAGGCACGGGTGTCTAACGTAACGGACACGTCAGGTGAGGCACACCTGAGATCCTCCCAATCCACACGCGGGACATACTGTACAGTTGCATTGACCACGCATCTGATGTTCCATCTCGAATATTCTCGAAGCCATCTCTTGATTTTCCTCAGCTTGCAGTCACACTGCAACTCAGTCCCCTCGGCTGTAGGCAAATATAGACTGTCGATGTGGCGTAGTTCATCAACATCTGGAATCGATGTGATAGGGTTACCTGCCAGCCGGACCGATAACTTCACAGTTGACCGAATCCCTTGAGGAACGCTGGAAAGGCAGTTCCAAGCTAGATGCAGTCTTCGTATACTGACAATCCCGACAAAAGCTTTTCTGTTGATGTGGTGGATCTGGTTATGATCCAAGTTTAAATAAACTAGCCGGCCCAGACCCTTGAAAGTTTCTGCCTCCAATCGCCTTATCTTGTTCTGACCCAGATCTAGTGCATACACGGACGACAAGTCTACAAAAGCCCCTGGTTGTAGCGCCACAACGTTACTTTCCTTGATATACAGCCTCTCTAAAACATTGTGTCGGGGAAAATCACCTACTTTGATGTTCGCGATATCCTGTTGCTCTATCCGCAAGCCTATCAGGTTTGGAGGCAATAGTGCCGGGACGCGGCGGAAAGAACAGGCCGTCCAGCAAGTCAGGGATGGTACGTAGGCAGCGAGATCGCCTTCACAGCAGTCTAGGTTTGAGGCTGCGCAACCTCCAGTCCAGGTCACAAACAGCACCACTAGAGTAAGCCAACTTCCATGTCTTGTGGTCGTCATCTTAAGAGTTGTGCCCCTTGTCAACAATATCTTGTTCAGACAAAGATCTACTGAGCCTGCTTGGCTAAATCTAACTGCCTCCTGTCGGACAATATGGAAGGCTTCAAGCCCCTAAGTCTAAGGTCCAAGTAAGTCTCATCATCATCTGAAAAGTTAGTCACCTGACGTTATGCAATGTAGTCAAGAAATGTCTAAAGAGTCAATGAGCGATAAATAGGCTTGCCTTTTTTCTATCTTATGCATGACGTCCTTGTTCCTACCATGATCATAGTGGTCTTCGCTACATCAGGGTGGACGGGGGTGGCTTTGACTGAATGACCGAGAGGCTACGCTAGTGACCAACAAATCAATAAGTTGCATGTTGAGTCCGCTGACGTGTTCCTTCCAGCATTTTCCAGTCCTATATTGAAGGTAGAAATCTTGTAAATGAGTGAGACGGTTCATTCAGACGTTTGCGTTTATTCATGATTCCACTTGATGGCCTAAATACCATTTTGTTTTTCTGAGCAGAGTATCTTATTCATTACTACCAGGAAACAGCTCTGTGCCATCAAGATGAAAGAAGCAATCACTGCAACAGAATTTTTTTCTCTGGAGTCGGACAAATCAAACAAACATCTGAGCAGTTAAACCTTTGTTCTCAAGAAAAAATATTTTGATTACGTTCTCAATTCCTAGCCAGGCGTTTATGTTAAAAACCAAATAACACGAGAAGAGTATATTTCGTAGTAGTTT